ACACACACACACACACACACACACACACACACACACTTTCCTTCCATTAGCTCAAACTTCTCCTCAAGCCATCTAAATCAGCCATGAAACAAATACTGACTTACAAAAATGTACAGCATTACACTAGATCTGTATGTAGGGAGTCAAAATTCAATATAATTATTATTGCTTATTACATTTGAGCTTTTCAGAGATTCAAGAACACATGGTTTTTGTCTTATGTGTTACATTATGACTTTACAACCCAAACCAAACTCCACCATACCTGGACCATATACCAAAGTCCACTACATTATAACATGACAAGTGCTATAAGAGAACAGTTACTGTACAGCTCAACTCCCCAGGTGTTTTCTTCCAAGAGTTTTAGCTTTTGGTTCTTACATTTAGGTCTTTGATTCATCTGAGTTCGATTTTGTATATGGGGTGAGGCTAGGGTACAACTTCATTCTTTGCATGTGATGTCTAGTTGTCCCAGCATCATATGTGAATCTTACTTTATTGGAATAATGTACAGATGACTTCACCTATCCCACAGACTATGAGTAGGGTTGCTTAATTAATTTCTTACTCACCTTTGTTTCCCAACTCTTGCCTAATAAATATCTGTTCACCAAGCATTGATCATATACTTACTAAATGTCAGACACTGATAGGCACTATCCAGGCACTGGGAATACAGAGAAGAATGAGATACAGGCTAGGTCTTCAAGGAATCAGAATCCAGTAGTGCAGACACATAAATAAGTCAATACAATATAGTGAAAGAATAACAAAAAAGTATGCATGAGACAAAAATGGCATAAAAGAGAGGTCTTAATAACCTGAGATGGAATAAGGGCAGGGCTGGAAAAGTCTTTGTGTACCTTGAATATTTTGAAGGATTAATAAGAATTTGCCATAAGGCAAAGTAGACACACACCTAGACACAAATTATTTTCTCAAATGATTCTACTTAGCTTTGGAATAAAATGCACCACATCTGCTTGGTTTTGTTTGTTTGTTTTTTGTTTTTTATTAGCAAAAGATTCACTTCTCAGTTTTTACTATGCCAGAATTAGCTCAGATAAAATTTGTAAAGGAGGTAAGATGATCCTCAGGGTATCTCTTCTCTCCCTACATCTCTAGTGAAAGCCTGATTTACTTCTCACGAAAGCTTTCTATTCTAGCATTTCCTTATTATTCCTCCCACTAAAGCCCCTATCATCCTATGTTTCATAGCCACATGGCATTAACAAGATAAAGTGACCAACCTGCATTACATGTTTGTACTTTACCAAGGAAGTTGAACAGTTTAACCCAAATGAATAATGCAAGAGCTGTACTGTCCACTGGGGGATCCAATTTGAAATAGGTAGAAAATTTCAACATCACCCTATAAAGGTGTCTGCTTAGAAGTCAACATGATTGGTATTTTACTTAGAAAATATTGAAATCCAGTTGCATTCCTATAAATCAGGCAAACTGGGCCTGCTGGTCGTGTGGTGGTTAAAATAGCTGGATCCCACTTGGCTGATTATATGGTTCGTGTCCCAGACCCGGCAGCTTGAGAATATACTACCACATGTACATGCATGCCCAAAATCCCAAAGGGGTTGGTTCTCTCTCCCTTTCTTTCTCTCTCACAGGTGCCCTCTGGCAAATTGAAAAATCTTCCCATATGTTCAGCCATTAAGATCTGTTACTTACTAGAGCTGTTCAGTATATCATAACTAATGCAGAAATCTTAAACACACACACACACACACACACACACACACACACACATAAACTATCAGTGAATTATAAGCTACCCAGAAGTAAACAGGATGGCAGATTAAAATTCTGTGTGAATAATGGCTACTCTGATTCAGGAGAAAGGGATATAGTGCTGAAAAAGATAGTATGTTATTTTAAATATATGACTTGTTTGGTCTACTGAGAAACAACAATGAGAAACAGATTTTCTAATCAACATAAGAAAGACCTTTGTAACTTTCAGTAGTCAATGCAGTTCACTGATAGCTACCTCAGGAGGTACTGAGTTCCTTGCCTTTAGAGGTACTTAAGGTGAGGCTGGATCCATAATTAAGAATTAGCTTAAAATAATTAAAAAAAAATAAAGGCTAGGAATCTATTTTGTCGGAAGCAATAAAGTCAAATAGAAAGCCATTGGTTTCATGCCCATTATCAGATACACAAATGACAACTACCTGTAATTGGAAAGAACGTCTTCACATGCTCTCTAAACTCTATTTTGGTGAAAGAAAAGGCCAGGAAGGAAACTCACACTTGCAGTGACCAAGTGCACAATAAGGATGCCTAAAGAAGTTTCTGACAACCCTAAGTCTTTTAGTGTGGATGAAACTGTCATTCTTTAGGTCAGCAGACTTTACTGAGCACCAACTCTGTGCAAAGCATTAGAGACAGATTGACCAAAAAGTAATCTTGGCCCAGAGGAGCATGCAGTCACTGAAGTCCACATTATAGCACTACAAATGCTATAAGAAGCAGTGATTACATAGCTTAAGCTAGCATAGAGGTTAAGGCACTGAATTCCACATGGCCAGCTTTGTGGTTTGAGTCCCAGATCTGGCAGCGTGAGATTCATACCAGGCACCTGTGCCTGTTTGCCCCAAATCCCAAGAGCAGAGTGGAGAAGGGATTGCAGCATGCCCATCTCCTCCAAGGGGTGGAGGTGAATTCTCACTTTCCTTCTCTTTCTGTCTCTCTGTCTCTTGGTCTCTCCCTGGTGAGCACACACACCCTACTGTAAAAACTTTTTTAAAAAGTTAATTAACAAGTCAGCCAGTAACAGGGTAATTAAGGTGGCTGGATCCCACATGACTGGCTACATGGTTCAAGTACTGGACCCAGCAGCTTAACAAATCATACCAGATATGTGTGCATACATGCCCAAAATCTTGAATGCAGGGAGAGATGAACGAGAAGGGAGTGGTGTGACTATTCCCCATAGGGGAGTGCTTTCTCACTTCCCTTCTCTCTGACTCTGGCATGTGCATGTATCCTCTAGTAACTTAAAAAAAGTTAATCAACTAAACCAGTTTTTAGACATTTAAGACAAAGTTTAACTTCCTGGGATCATAGTGGTTAAGGGTGCTGGACTCTCACATGGCCAACTGTGGTTCGAGTCCCAGATCTGGTGGCTTGCTTTCTCACTTTCTCTCTCTCTCATGCTCTCTCTCTTGCTCTGTCCCTCTATGGTCAAATTAAAATAAATAAATAAAGTTAAATAAAATAATTCTTTTTTTAAAAAATTAACAAAAAGGATAAAGTTTAACTTCCTAATTATATATCCCTCTTACAGTTCAAATTAATTTTTTCAATTAACACATATTTGAGGATTGACTTTAAAATGACCTTAGGTTAACTACTACTGTATCTGTCTTGGAAGAGGCTAATTGTCAAAGGAATACAGAATTTCATTATTATGGCCATAAAGTCCTTTAAAAAAAATTACCAGAGGCATATGTGCTACCCATAGAGGAGAGACAGAAAATGAGAAAGCACCTCCCAATGGAGGATAATCACGTCACAATCCCTTTTCCTCCATCTCTTCCTCCTTTCATGATTCTGGACACTCATGCACATGCGCCTGGCATGTTTTCCAAGCTGCATGGTTGGGGCTCTAGCCACACAGCTGGCTATGTGGGATCCAGACGCCTTAACCACCAGGCTATGGGCTGGCCTGAAAAGTCCTCTTTTACTTCAAATTTTTCAAATTAAAATAGACTACCTGCTTGCATGACTCACAGTCAAATAAATGTATTGATGCATTCATTCCCAAATAGCCATCAGTCACAGCTATTCACCTTACCTCCATGCTCTACACTTAAGAAAATAAAGTTTAAAAGTAGGGAAGAAACACAAATAGCAGATGAATTTGATTCAAATATAGTTGAATTCTCTTTAGGAAAAGAACTTGTAGCAAAAACCTACTCTTTTGTTATTGTTTAACAGGTTAAAAAAACAAACAAAACTATTTGAGACACCCAAAAACTATGAACAATGCTACATTTTTTCTACTATGGTAAAATCTATATAGCATAAAATCTTAACATCTTAATAATTTTAACAGTTTATAAGTATATACTTGTGCAACCGTCACCATGTTAATTCTTTTTAAATATATTGAAATGCTACATCTCACTGTTAGCATGAACAATTCTTTACGTTTTCTTAAATAAACTTCAGAACTGAAACTTAGATTTTTTTTTTCAATCTAAGGAAGAGGTATATGGTAAGAGATGCAATTCATAGTATTACCATAATTGATTTCCCAACTGCTATGATTTATATGTCCTCCAAAAAATTCATGTGGTGATATTTGATTGTTATAGGATTAAAAAGGTATATATAAAAAAAAATGGGGCCAGCATGTAATATGGTGGTTAAGGTGCTGGACCCCCACATGACTGACCACAGTTCAAGTCCTGGACCTGGTGGCTTGCCTTTTCACTCTCTCTCTGTCTCTCTGGTCAAACTGAATAATAACAAATAAATAGATTTTTTTTAAAAAAGATAAAAAGCTATTCTGACTATGGCGCTGAAAAGTGAGGCCTCTAGGAAGAGATGAGGATTGAAGTCATTAGGGTAAGGCCCCCATGACTGACTTCTGGTGGGTTTACCGGGAGAGGAAATGAGACAAACAGAGAAGGATGGACATATTCACCTGCTCTTGCCCTTATGATGTGATGCCTTGGGGTTCAGCAAGACCTCGATGGATGTTGCCTCTGAACCTAGGACCTCCAGACTGTGAGTTAAATAATAAACCCCTATTCTCTTATTCAGATGCAAGTATTTTTTGTTATTAGCAACAAAGTGGAGCAGAATACCAACCTAGGGTTTCCATGTCATCAGTAAACTATTTCCTAACAAGATAACCATACCTAAACTAAATCCAGTTGTTTTAATAACTATGCAGCCCCGCAACCCAGAAATGTGTAATACTTATTGCCTCTATTTCTTAACACTAAAATCCTTTCTCTTTTTTAAGAGAGATTTTTTTTTTTTTTAAGAGGGTGCCTATGCTCGCTGGAGAGACAGAGAGAGATGGAGAGACAAAAAGTGAGAAATGACCCCCCAAGGAGATGACTACATGACAATTGCTTCTCCTCAGTTCTCCTCTTGGGATTCTGGGCATGCACATACACGCACCTGGCATGAGTTTTAAGCTGCCGAGTCCAGGACTCAAACTGTGGTTGACTACATGGAAATCCAGTGACATAACTATTACACCATCTGCTGATCCCAACACTAAAATTTTAAGTAAAGATTTTCCTCTTAATTACTCCCATTGTGACTCAGTGATATAAGGTAGAGACATGAAAGAGGTAAGAGCAGGAAAAAGATACATACATAAGAGATATTTCAGAGCTGCACATAATCAGAAGTACATTCCACTTAGGTTTTGAAATCTTGTCCACAATACAGAATTTCCTAAGTTCCTTGTTAGCATTTCTTTCTTTTTTGAAAAAGAATGACTTATTTAGTTTTATTATTATTTTAATTTACCAGAGAGAGAGAGATGGAAAGTGAGAAAGCAAGCCACCAGGTCTAGGACTTGAGCCATGGTCGTTCATATGGAAATCCAGCGCCTTAACTACCATGACCTGCTGGTCCCCCCTTGTTAGCATTTCTAAGTAATGACATATTAAGCTACACCCTTTAAAAGAATAAATCGCAAGGGTCCAAGAGTAGAGATTAAAACTAGTGGTAAGTAATTCACCTATTCAACATCTACTCTATCTGGAACAATTTTTCCTTGGTTTTATATTTGGATTTTAATATATATTTCTTTTTTTCTAAGTTTTTTCAAATTATGTGATGTTAATTAATTAGACACAGATTTCATAAAGCAATGTTTATTGGTTTTAGGAAACATTTATTGTGACTTGAGTAGAATGAATGATTTCATCTGTTTACCTTTTCAGTTGATCTCTCATAATCATTAAGATATGCCTTTTATAAATGGGGAAAATCCATCCATACACACAATCAGGAGCTGATAATCTTTGCCAAGTACTTATTATTTTTTTTCAATCATTAGTGGGCATCTGTATTGCAAGCTTGTACAATGCAAGTTCCATCATCATAAACAGAAAGGACACTAGCTTACCCACTTCCTGGGTCCTGATTACATGGACTCTTACTCTGGACTTTAAAATCATGTGGTAGGAAGTGAAGCCAGAGCTGATTTTCTTTTCAGTATCATAGACCTAAAATATATCTTTGAGGGTTTACATGGGCAAACTGAAAATTTCTGAAGATGCTTGCCAAGAATCTCTCAAGCCATTCGTCTTTATAGGCCCTGGGGAGGAAAGGAGGGAGGGACTGGATGGATACTAGATGCTAGAGGGGTAATGAAGGGCTAGATAGAGGGGGGAAGGAAAGAAGGGAAGCAGAAATGAAGGAAAGAAGTCATTATTCATTCTCTCATTTAACAGATATTTTGTGACTAGCTGCTACAGGACATGCTCAGTTTTCATGTAGAGATGCAAACATACCTTTCCCCCAGTTCACTGTCTTCTGTGTAAAGCTGGCCTCGCTCACCCTTGTCTGTAGGTGCAGCCTCTCCTTTCCACCTCTGCTTATGTAGTGCTGTTCTCTCTTGCTGCACTATACACACACACCTGGACACTTTATGTTTCATTTATCCTTTTGTTTTTTAATCACAGGTTGTGTGCGCTCACTCAAGAGAGATATACACAGAGAGAGAGGAATCCCAAAATCTTTTTGAGATTTTGGCCATATACACACATGTGCCCTGTGTTTTTTTAAGCTGACGACTTTGGGACTCAAACCACATACCTGGCCATGTGAGATCCAGTGTCTTAACCATCATGCCACCTGCTGGCCCCGGGGCCCTTTATGTTTTAAGGCTTTTACTGTCAGTCACTCATAAATAGGACAGAAAGAAGCTACCAAAGTTGAAGCATTTTGTAAAATGCTTATTACTATTGTGATCTCTGATGTGATTTCTACTTTTCTTTCTTTCTTTTTTATTTATTTTTTTTTTTGAGGTTTTCGCTATAGGGCGCATGCACTCGCCAGAAAGACAGAGACAGACAGAGAGATAGAAAGCGAGAAATCACCCCCAAGAGGGGGTGGCCATGCCACAATCCCTTCTCCTCCATTCTCTTCTCGGGATCTTGGGTGCGTGTGCTTCCAGCGTGAGTTTAAGCCACCAGGTCAGGGACTCAAACCGTGGTCAGCTACACGGGAGTTCAGTGACATAGCCATTACACTAACTGCTGGTCCCATGATTTCTATTTCTGAATTCCTTCTGTATATGTTCTTTTCGATTGGTCTGATTTTCCTTGTAATTTCTGAGAGTAAAATTTACCAAATCTCTCTCCCTCTTAAATGGCTCCCTTTTTCTAGGAAATGGCAGCTCCTCCAAGGAGGCCTCTTCCCGATATTTATTTACTCATTTGACATTTATTTAGTGGCCTCTGTGTCATAGCCATTTCGGCTTGGTTGATGTAATCAGTACCCAGTAAGTGGGTAAGCAAGTGTTCTTCTTACAAATTCAGGTCAGCTTTTTATCCCTGATCCATATTTGAAGTCAAGTTCCCACCATTTTTCTCCCCTTCTATTGCCACCTCAAAGAATTACAACAAACACCTTTGCTCCCGGCAGCCCCCTTTATCTCATAACCCAAAATGAAGGGACCCTGACTGAATTACATTATCAGTCTCTTACCCTGCCAGGAAAGCTAAGGAGTAGGAATTGTTCTTGGAAACAAATGCCGAGCGATGCGTCTGTGTGATCTGGCCTCGAGAAGGTTCTTCATTCTCTGAATCTGAGAGACGTGCAGGATACTGGCAGAGAGACAAGGGATACAACATTGTCCATTTAGGGTTCACAAATGGGAACATCTACACTAGCTACAGTTTCAAATAGCAATAGCTCAATATCACTTCTCTCCCAGTTCTAATCTGTCTCCTAGAGATCTCAATCTTAAATGCAACTGAAACTTAATATATCCAAAATCAGACTCTAGTTCTCCTTCCCATGCCTCACCAACAACTCATCTAGCAACCTCAATGCCCTCAATGATTCTTTTCTTTCCTTTATTTTTATGTCATAATAATATCTGTATAGACGTTCTGGATACCCTAACACGTCAAACTATTTTATTTCATTTAATGTTCATATCAATCTCATTTTTAAAAGTTATTTATTTAATATTATGATTTATTATTGTTATTATTAAATTTGCTATAGGGCACAAGTGCTCACCAGAGATAGACAGGGAGGGAAAGTGAGAAAGCAAGCTGTCAGGTCCACTCAGTCAGCCACATAGAATTCCAGTGCCTTCACTACACCACCTGTTGGCCTCCATATCAATCCCATAAAGCAATAATTTGGGGCGGGCCCTGATTTGGGGTTGGTCTGGAGGCTTGAAAAACTTGTTGTACACATGTGTAAACCCCAAATCCTGACAAGGTTGGGGAAATGGAGAAAGGATTGTGGCAGGACCACGCCCCACTGGGAGTCTCTCTCTCTCTCTGGAAGGCTATTTACCAAAATGTTTATAGGTGTTGTTTCTACCTTATGAGATGACAAATAATTTTTTACTCTTTGTTTTACAGTCTTTAGTATAATGATAACTGCTATGCCACAGTTTTCCAACAATCCACATTATTATTGGATTAACCGTACCATAACGAAGTATAAGTTAGACATTGTGCTCATTTTATTTCTGTTCTCAAAAAAATAACAACAATGATACTCTCTGCTTATAGAATAAGCTCTTTCTTCTCTGAATTTAAATTGACTTTCACAAACATGTATCAAACACTTATGATATGAAAACAGTATAGATATTTAAATAAGTAAGATACATTTCCTATAAAGCCAGCAAACTTACAATCTACTAGAGGAACACAAACATGTGAAAACCAAAATGGGGCCAGCTGCTGGTGTAGTAAAGGCAGCTGGATCCTGTATAGCTGACTAGGCACCTCAAGTCCCAGACCCGGCCTGCTGAGTGCTTGCATGCCGTAAATCCCAAGAGAAGTTGGAAAAGAGATTGTGGCATGGTCATACCCCGTGGGGAAGGGGTGCTTTCTCTCTCCTGGTGGGGTGCTTTCTCTCTCTGTCTCTCTCTCTCTCTGATAAGCACACACACCCTGCAGCAAATTAAAACAAACCAAAAAAAACATAATGTAAGGGAGAATGAAATCTGTTCTGCAGAAGTTACAAAGTGGATAAGGGAGTGGATAAACAAGACACTTGTGGGACACAGATATGGTTTATTATCTGCTGACAAGGAAGTGTATAGTATTCTCAACTGGGCTGGACTGAGGTGTACATCATGCTTGGTAAAGTCTCTTTACAATCTAAATGATGTATAGCAATTGAATGTATGGAATAATATTAATTAATTAATTAATTTTTTAAAAAAGTATATGTTCTATGAAGGTGACAGTTTTTTGGTTTTTTTTGAGAGTTTGTTTGTTTGTTTGTTTGTTTTGCTATAGGGTGTGTGTGCTCACCAGAGAGACAGAGACAGAGAGACAGAAAGCAAGAAATCACCCCACAGGGGGATGGCCACACCAATCCCTTTTCCTCCATTTTCCTCTCGGGATCTTGGCACACACACACATGTACCCGGCGTGAGTTTAAGCCACTGGGTACAGGACTTGAACCGTGGTTGACTACATGGGAGTTCAGCAACATAGCCATTACACCAACTGCTGGTCCCAAGGTGACAGTTTTTGAACTAATCATGGAATCAATGGAATACCCTTTCTTTTTTCTTTTCTTTAAAAAAAAAGAAAAAGAAAAAATTGTCAGAGGGCACATGCACTGACCAGAGGGAGAAAGAAAGGGGAAAAGTACCCCTCAATGGGACGTGCTTATGCTTCAACCCCTTCTCTTCCATGTCTCTGTCAGGATTTGGGGCACAATGTACATGTACCAGCCAAGTCTTTCAAGCTGCTAGGGCAGGAATTCGAACCATGTGGTCAGCCACATGAGATCCAGTTTTCTCAACCAACAGGCTGGCTCAGAAGAGCTTTTCAAATGTTAAGTTTGGTGGCATTTCAATGAGATGAGAACACAAGAGCGAAGACCCTGAGAAGGGTGCTAGTATATATGAGGGAATACAAACAGCCCTTCTCCCAAGAGTTTCTGGAGTGTAATCAAAGATGGAAAGAGGGACCAGCAGTTGGCATAATGGCTACGTCACTGGATTCCCATGTAGTCGACTGTAGTTTGAGTCCTGGACCTGGTGGCTTAAACTCTCACCAGGCGCATGTGCGTGGGTGCCAAAGATCCCGAAAGGAGAATGGAGGAGAAGGGATTGCAATGTGCCCGGTCCCCGTGGGGGGTGATTTCTCGCTTTCTTTCTCTCTGTCTCTTTCTATCTTTCTGGTGAGCACACGTACCCTATAGCAAAAACCTCTCCAAAAAAAGGGATGGAAAGCTAAGCTAGAATCACACTACAGAAGGACTTGAATGCTGGAGTGAAGTCATTTCCCTGAGATTTAGGGAGCAGGAGAGTGAAATGATCAGTCCAGATGTAGTCATACTGCCTATATATATATATATTTTTTTTTTTTTTTCAAAATACTTTAGCTTCCTTTTCACTAAGACCACTTGAGATTCTTTTGAGGCTCATTTTAAAACCAAGCTAAATGAAATAATTTTCTCAACACTAAAAACTCTTAAAACATATTTAAAATAAAATTCAAGTGATTGAAAAGTCATCAAGAAAAAACAAAAAAGGCAAAAATCCAAAATTTGAAATGTTCATAGGTCAAATTTTATAATATGCTTTTGCATAGAAAATTTTATAAAACTGGTTATTACCAACAAATGAATCTGAGAATTTGTACTGTCTGGTGTCTTTTAAGATTAAAATAAGGCAGATAAAACTGATTTCTATTTCAAAGACTAGGTAATGGCAAAAAAAAAAAAATTAATTAGAGCAATCTCCTAGATTGACATTAATTAACATTAGAGATCAGTTCCTGGAGGAAACCTGGATCTACCAAGACCAGGAACAGCAGGTTCTTCCAGGGGAAGAGACATAGGTAATATGGAAGGGATGAGTAATCACTCTATCTATAGAGAAAGGTCCTTCTGGGATATTTTGTCTGGGGGCTCTAGAGTAGTCTTGTTAGGGTGAAGGGGCACAGGTGCAGTCTTTGGAGACTACAGACCATAGCTGGGCTATTGGTCACAAGATATATAACATGCAGGAGACCTATCTTATTCTTGCTTTCCTAGCTAACCTGCATCCTCTCTAGTAGCAATCTTTTGCTTTTTGTGGTTCCTAGTGTACTGTAATTAAGAGTACATAGCACTTCATGCTTATTAAACTCAATCTTTTAGAAGGCTGAAACCCTAAGTGCAAAATACAAGTGGTTATTTTAATACCAATTAAATAATAGCAATTATTATTATTATAACTGGAATTAGAAGTCCCTCATGCATGTGGTAATCAGCAAATACTCCTGACCCTAGAAAACAAAATTTCCATTTTTGAAGTTTGAGAAAAATGTCTTTGCAAAAATTAAACCAGAAGCACAGAGAATCTAAATAACATGACCAAAGTCAGATAGCTGGCTACAATGCTAGGACCTAAGAGGTAAACTTCTGGTACAGAGATTTTTTTTTTTTTTTTAATGGACCGATGGTACATGTATGCATCAGAGACAGATGGCGAAGGACAAGATGAAAGCACACCTCACCCCCCCCAGAGGGACATGGTCATGTCCCAATCCCTTCTCTTGCATTTCTCCACCCTATCAAGATTTGGAACACATATATGTCTGGCATACTTTTCAAGGCACCATGCTGAAACTCAAACCACACAGCTGACCATGTGGGATCCAGTGCCCAGGACCAGCACTCTGCTTTGTTCCCAAATAAATAATAAAGCTTTATTAATTCCAGTTAATTAGAGAGATAACCTGACTGGGTCAGAAAATGGTGTGGTGGTTAAAGTGGCTGGATCCCACATGATCAATGGGGTGGCTCAAGTCTTGGGCCTGGTGGCTGAAGGAACAGGCCAGGGGAATGACAAAAATCTTGAAAGGAAGGGTAAATGGGGGAGAAAGGATCACAGCATGATTATTCTCCATAGGGAGATGTTTCCTCACACACTTACCTCCGCCTCCCGCCCACACACACACTAGCTTCTTTCTGACACTCATGCACCCTTTGACAAAAATAAAAAAAAAAATCCAAAAGATAACCTGACATACTAATAAGACTGAATCACAAAATATTTTAAAAGATATGACTCTAAAAGTAGTTAAGTATAGGGGTGGCAGGTGACATGGTGGTTAAGGCTCTGGACTCCCATATGGCTGACCATGGTTTGAGTCCTGGACTTGGCTGGTTGCTTTTTTACTTTCCTTCTCTTTCTGTTTCTCTCTGGTCAAACTGAAAAATAATAATAATAAATAAAATTAACTAAAATTTTTAAAAAATATGTTAAGGATATACAATAAACATTAGAAGATTCTCAATCCAATATGACTTACTAAGGAGATTAAACTTAATTTTAGTTATCAATATGAGTGCAATTAGTGGATTCTTCAAAAGTGCTTTCCTATATAAATTAAACACAAAACTTACCATCTTTTTTAGCAATTCACTTAGTAAAGAAGTAATGAAAAAAATTCAGGCAAGATCTGGCCCAACTATAAGTCTAATTAGATTAAGTTTAGACTAAGCACCTAACATTGAGGACATACTTTATATCTAGCACTGTGCTATGAAAGGCATTGTAAGAATAAAGGTGGGAAGTAAAACAGAAAAGTAAGGTAAAGAAAAAGAAGGTAGGAAATGTTGCTGAGTGAAGCAAGTCAGGCTATGAAAGAGAAACACTGTATGTCTCAACATATACTGGCTGCCTGCATTCTATCGTAGAGACTGAAAGACTGGAGAACATAAAAGTATTAAAAATAGCAATGAACACTAGAGACAAAGGGGAAAGAGAATGTGAGAGGGGAAGAGGTAGGAAATTTGGGGGGGAAATGGAGAGGTAAGACACTTATGGGACACAGATAAGGTTTATTATCTGTTGACGAGGATGTATATGGTGGTCTCAACTGGGCTGGACTGAGGTGTATATCAAGCTGGGTAAAGTCTCTTCACAATCTAAATGATGCATAGTGATTTAATGTATAAATAATAGTAATAATACATAAATATTAAAAAGAGAAAAGAAGGGAACCAGCAGTTAGCGTAATGGCTATGTCGCTGAACTCCCACGTAGTCGACCGCGGTTCATGTCCTGGACCCGGTGGCTTAAAACTCACGCCGGGCGCGTGTGCGTGCGTGCCCAAGATCCCGAGAGGAGAATGGAGGAGAAGAGATTGCGGCGTGACCATCCCCCCTGGGGGGTGATTTCTCGCTTTCTGTCTCTATGTCTCTCTCTGTCTGTCTGGTGAGCGCACGCGCCCTACAGTGAAAATCTCTGCAAAAAAAAAAAAAAAAGAGAAAAAAAAAAGGAAAAATGTATTTGCAAATAAACTGTATTGTTCAGGAAAAAAATAAATAAATACAAACAAAAAAAGAATAAAGATGGGCCAGGTAGTAGGTACTGGATCCCACATGGCCCGCTGTGCAGTTCGAGTCCTGGACCTGGTAGCCTGAAAGAAAAAGCTAGGCCCATGTATGTGTAAGCATGAAATCCTGGAAGAAGAACTAACGGATAAGGATTGTGGTGTGATGAGTCCTCATAGCAGGTGCTTTCTCACTTTTTCTCTCTCTCTGTCTCTCTGGCAAGCACACATGCCCTGTAGCAAACTGAAAAAATAAAAAAAAGAATAAAGGTGAGTTGTCCCTTAATGATTCGGGGAGCTGGATCCCATAGGACCTACTGCAGTTAAAATCCTGGCCCCAAATGCTTGAAAAACATGCTGGGCATGTATGCATGTGTGCCCCAAAAACTGACAGGATGGAGAAATGGATGAGAAGGGACTGTGATGTGACCATGCCCATTGCAGGGGTGCTTTGTTCCTCCCCACCACACATCAAGAATACTAGAAGACCACTAAATAGTGACATAGATTCTTTCTCTCTCTTTTTTTTTTTTTTTTTTTTTTTTTTTAATTTCCCAGAGGACACATGAGCTCACCAGAGAGAGCCAAACAAAGAGGGAGAGGAAGACAGTACCTCCCCATGGGATAAGGTTATTCCATAATCCCTTCTCTTCCATTTCTCCATCCTGGGATTTTGGGCATGATGCACAGGTGCTTGGCATGTTTTTCAGGCCACTAGGGCCAGGATTCTAACTGTGCAGTCAGCCATGTGGGATCTGGCTCCCTTAACTAACAGGCCATGGGGCCAGCCTGATATGGATTCTTTAGTTACATGAGAAACATTTATGTTTTGGGTAACTGTATAAACCTTTAGCAAGTAAAAAGAAAGGAATAAAGTCAAATAAAATATGACGGTACTTCAAGAAGTCTGGAAAAATGGAATTAAAGTGTGAGTTTATTTGCGCTAAAAATATTAAATTCATGCATAGTTTTATCATAATACACATTTTCTATGAAATTTTAAAGATCATTCATATAAGCTTTAAGGAAATCTTGTAGACAATGTAAGACGCACAACACTTAAATGTCAAATAACAACAATACATAAGTTAAAATCACAATGTACATATAAAACATATCACAAGTAGTGTAGTATACTAGGTTTTCCTTCTCACTTATCTTTTTCTTCACTGTTCTCTTAATCTTTCCATAGGTCTCACTGTCCCATTCAGAAATTAGTTTCTTCAGCACTCCTCTGGATGCTAAGTTCCTCACTACTCTTAACCTCCATGAGCAGTGATTGTTAACTGTTCTCATTGTTCACATTGTTCACCAATACTGGACTTTCAGATCAAGTGCCCTGGGCTAATTGCTGATTTTTTTTTTTGATGCAGTTTTTTGCTATAGGGTGCATGTGCTCACCAGACAGACAGAGAGAGACATAGAGACAGAAAGCGAGAAATCACCCCCCAGGGGGGATGGTCACATCACAATCCCTTCTCCTCCATTCTCCTCTCAGGATCTTGGGCATGCACGCACACACGCCCGGTATGAGTTTTAAGCCACCGGGTCCTGGACACGAACCGCAATCGACTACGTGGGAGTCCCACAACATAGCCATTACACTAACTGCTGGTTCCTCTAATTGCTGACTTTTGAGGCATATGTCCATCAAAAAGTTAATCTACTTACATGTTCCAGATTTGTTTTCAGTACTAATGGCTCATCTCTTTTTTTCTGTTCATCCATTTTCCTTTTCCCTGCTTCTGTATCTTCTGGTAACAGCTTGTGGATTTGGTCTTCACAGGTTTTTTCCTCTTGTAATTTTTCTTCTCTCATCTAAAAATGCAAATTACAGAAACAGAGTTTTAATCAACCCTAGACTTAAAAACATCATTTACTCTGAAATTTATCAGAACAAACAGATCACATGGCAGTTCTGAGACTATTTTTGTTATCAGAGATAGAGCCCTTTTGATTTTTAAGTAAATCTGCATTCCCTTGGCTTTTGTCAAACATACCCTTCATGGCCTAAGATTTAACTGCTCTGCATTCTTGAGCACTATACCGTAAAAGCTAAGAGAATGCACATTACGTATAATCAGAAAATACAGTTTATTCATGTAACAAAAAAAAAGGGCTGAATCTAAGCCTTCTTATTCCCATTAGCTACACAGAACTGAGCTGGACCAGGGAAGAGGAGGAGCTGGGGTAGGGCTTGCTGGCAATAGAAAAAAATGACTTATACACTCCCACTGTCACACTCTATGCCCTTATCCATGTCAAAGGACAAGCCAAGATAGATGGTCTACAAAGAAATTTAAGATGGAGGCATATGGGAACCAGCAGTTAGCGTAATGGCTATGGCACTGGACTCCCATGTAGTCGACTGCGGTTCGAGTCCCATACCCGGTGGTTTAAACTCACGCCGGGTGTGTGTGTGTGTGCCCAAGATCCCAAGAGGAGAATGGAGGAGAAGGGATTGCGGCATGGCCATCCCCCCTGGGGGGGTGATTTCTCACTCTCTGTCTCTCTCTATAGCGCATGTGCCCTATAGCAAAAACTTCTCCAAAAAAAAAAAGATGGAGGCATATGCTCATTTGGGGAAGGTAGCATTGCTTTATGAAGTTAGCATGAGATTTGAAATAAAAACCTAGGTAAGGGTCTAGCAAATGGTGTAATAGTTACATCACTGGACTCCCACATGGCTGACTATGGTTCAATCCCTGGACCCAGTGGCTTGAAACTCATGCCGGGTGCATGTATGTGCATGCTAAGAATTCTGGAGATGAAGGGATTGCAGCATGGCCATCCCTCTGGGGATGATTTCTTGCTTTCTGTCTCTCTGGCAAGTACACAAATCTCTCTTAAACAAACAAACAAACAAACAAACCCGGGTGATCTTGGGTAAATGAACCATCATTTCCTTGCTTCTAAAACAGGGTTAATGCTACTTACTTTGCAGACATTGCCATAAGGAATAAATGAGGTAACAATATAACACAGTACTTAACTTAGTGTGTTACTATGAACTTATGGTACATTATCAAGAGTTCCCTTTGTACTTTTATACCATTTTCACCCTCTAAAGTATTAATGAAAGTTAAATAAAACTTATCAAAGCAGTTATAAATATAACTGTTAATTAGTATAATTAGTATACTAATATTTTTAATCAGTCTTATGAAAATGTAAAGCTAAACAACAAATAAATTGTTTTTTATTGACAATGGGCACATGTACTTGGCACATAAAGAGATGAGAGAGAGAGAAAACACCTCTGCAATGGGGTGTGGTCACATTGCTATCCTTTGGAGTTCTGAGCAGCCCCATTCAGGGATTTCAACCACTAAAGACCCTCTGTCCAGACTTTACCCTCCTGTTCCTCAGTCTAGCCAGGAGCTAGGTTAGAGCACCCTACTTATTCTGTCTCTTTCCATCTCTCTCTACATATTTTTAATTTTTAAATATAGCTCTCTACTGCTCTTTCATCTTTCTAATTCTTACATTTCCTCCAGCCCCATAGATAAGCCAATCAGCAGCTATCTATATTTGAGTTCTGAACAGCCCCATTTGCACTGCACAGTTTTCATTTTTTGACAAATTTTTTTCTTCTCTTTTTATTATTTTGCCTTGCTTTTTTTTTCTCTTCTTTTTTTTTCCTATTACTTTTCCTTTTCTTTTTAACTTTCTCACTTTTCTGCTCAGTCTCCATACACTGATTTTTTCTAGACAGGTCTAGGTGCTCAGTAGCCAAATAACTGAATACTTTTAGGGTCGGATTAATCCTCAGTTTTTATTGAATCGGCTGTGCAGAGGGAGAAAAACGGTACTCTTTACAGACTTCAGGTCCCTTCTTCTACAATCCTCTGACTGCTCAGATTTCACTATGAAAAATAGGAAAAAACTTATAATCTATCAGATGATCAGAAACCACCGTAAAAGTACAAGAAATATGAGAAACCAAGAAAATATCTCTCTTCTAATGGAAAAGAGTAACTCCTCTTCCTTCCTCCACAAAGAATACAAGGGAACTCATGAAAAATGTCAGATAAAGAATTTTAAATATTCATAGTGACAAAGCTAACAGAGATGCAAGAGAAGAGAGACAACAAACTCCAGAAGATGCAGGGGAAAAAAAGACACTGAGTTCCAGGAGGTGAGGAAGTTCTCGCATGATCTGAAAGAGGACATACATATCATAAAAAAGAATCAAATGGGAATGTTAAGAGATGACGGCTGTAATACGGAAGTCAAAACTTCCCTTGAAAATAGGAAAAGCAGATTAGATCACGCAGAAGATTGAATCTCAGATATAGAAGATAGAAGCTCTGACTAGAAAATTCACCAAAAATACTAAGAAAATAACCCCCAAAAATGAGAATAACATGTGAGTAATACTAGGTACCATTAAATGCTCTAACATCCAGATCATTAGTATCCCAGAAGGTGAAGAAACTAATAAGGGCATTGATAATCTATTCCATGAAATCCTGGAAGAAAACTTTCCAAATCTAGAGAGGCACTCAAATATCCAGACCCAAGAAATACAAAAGACCCCAGATAGAATCAATCCAAGAAGATCTTCCTCAAGGCACATCACAGTCAGATTGAACCAAACTACAGAGATAAGACACTAAAATTGGCAAGAGAGAAGCAACAAGTTACTTTCAAAGGATATCCCATAAGGCTAACATTGGACCTCTCATCGGAAACAATGCAAGCAAGGAAAGAATGGGAAAATATATTTAAAGTACTAAGTCAAAAACAATTTCAACCAAGAATACTATACCTAGCAAGATCGTCTTTCATATGGGAATAAAGACATAAACATTCTCAGATAAACAAAACCTGAAAGAATTTACCAACATCAGATCAGCTCTCCAAGAAGTGCTAAAGGAAGTGCTATACCAGGAAAACTAAAGTCAGACACACAGAAATAAGAGTACAAGAAACAACCAAGAGAATGGCCAGCCTAATGGTAAGGACAAGTCCAGAGTTGAATGTTGACTTCCAGAGTTTAAATGGAAAGATTGGACCACAGGAGCACCGCAAATTCAATAGAAGAGAGTCTGAACTAGTGAAACAGAAGATTCTTAATTCAGACTAAAAATTACTGATTTTCTTCAATGCTTTGATTTCCATATTTAAGGATTTTTGTCTTCTCTTGAACTGCTGATAGGTTCATCTACCTACTATTTGAACTGAATCCTAACCTTTTTCCTGGCTTTGAATTTTAAGCAAATTTTTCTTTACATTTTTCGATTTTGATCTACTAAAACTAAAACTTTTTTTGAAATTAAAATGTGCATTAAAAATACCTATTAATACCTATTTAATGACTGCAGTAAGCTATTTAGTCCCAGAGAGGTGCTACTTTATATTATGTTCACTTTACTCACTGAGGTTTATGTCTAAAGTCAGACATGCATTCATAAATATATATATATATATTATCAGCTGTGCTTGCTATTGAAAGTCTTTAAATTAATTAAGCTCTTTAGTGAATCAATAAAATGTGAACAAAACATTGCTATCCTTTTCCTCCATTTCTCCATCCTATCAGGATTTCAAGCACGCAAGTGCATACATCCAGCTTGTTTTGAAAGCTGCTGGGGTTGAATTGGAACTGCAGTCAGCCATGTAGGATGCAACTTTCTACGCACAGCACTATCTCTGCACTATAAGGCCAGTCCAATAAATAAATAAATTTTTTTGATAGGCTGCTGCCTCAGTTAAAAAGAACAAAGAGAAAGGAAGGAAGGAAGGAAGGGAGAGACAACAATAAAGCCTTAGTCTTATCCTTCCAATTTGTGTAGGTCTGATTCCTGAAATCCTGAACTAGTTGAAGATATTGAGTCTAATTCAAGAGGTTATGAAAATGCAGTGAACACTGTACACAATACTAAACCAAGACAAGATTCAAGTAAAATAATGTAAGTCCAATTCTGCCCAATTTGAACAAGAACACAGGAGGAAGAAAAGCAAATCTGTAGCTGGGGGAGGAAACAAAATCTAACTGCCCACAGGAAAGAATCAATGTCTTGCTCAACATCTTAAACAGATTACATGAAGGAACATTTTACATTGGTGGACAGAGAGGCATAGATACACAAAAGAAAACAGGTCTTAGCATTATAATTGTCATCATTTACTGAACATTACGCGTCAGATGCTGAACTACGCACTATACATATTATCCCACTTAAGAAAACTAATTTGTTTTGTTTTGTTTTTGCCAGAGGGTACATGCACTTGTCAGGGAGAGACAGAGAGATGAAGAAAGCACCTTAATAGGGCATGATCATTCCACAATTCTGTCTCCTCCATTTCTCCATCCTGTCAGGATTTCAGGGACGGGAATATACACACTACTGGCTTGTTTTTCAAGCCCCCAGTCCAAGATTCAAACCATGTAGTTAGCTATGTATAAGATGGGGCTGCTTTAACCACCTGCCATAAAGCTAGCCCCAAGAAAACAAAGGTTTAAGAGTTGGGCAACTAGTTCAAATTCACACAGACATAGGCCCTGGAGCTGAAATTCAAATCTAGGTCTATCTCTGGTTCTCAATGTTTTTGCCCCCCCCCTCAAGGAAATTTAGTATGTCTAAGAATACATTGGGTTGCCACAACTGGGGGAGTAGGGTGTGTGCTTCTGGGCATCTAGCAGGTAAAGGCCAAATGCATAGGATACCTCTCCTACCACCAATATACACATAACAAATGTTGCTGTTTTTTTTTAAAAAACTACTTGGGGCCAGCAGATGGCTTAGTGGTTATGTTGCTGGACTCCCACAGGGCCAGCAGTGGTTAAAGTCCTGGACCTGGAGGCCTAAAAC